AGCAGTTTTTGCTGGGTAGAGGGCAGAGAGCGAGAGCAGGTAGTCCCACTCCATCATCCATGCAGCACCATAGGGAGAACTTCTTAAAAATGTTACGGGGATATTTTTAGAAGGACATAGAGGCTGAATACATGCAACAGGTCTGCAGTGAGCAAGGCTTGCTGTCTGAGCAGCTGTGTGCTTGCACAGCCAGCACAGGAACTTTTCACCCTTCTTACTTACCCAAGGAGCCAGTACACGACTTCTGTATGTGACCTGTGCTGCCTCCTTGCCCTTGTATTTCATAGACGTGACTGTGGTAGTTAGCACTGATTCTACAAAGCTGGTGAAGACTTATGCTGTCCCATGAACACTTGGCACCTTGCACCTGATGTAAAAGCCTAGTGTGTTACTAAGAAAAGCCTACTGTAGGGCAACAGGCTTTCATGGTGTCTGTAATACAATAATGCTTCCTCCCGTTGTGACATCTACCATGAAAACTCAGGCTGCCATGGCATTTTGCATAGGTGTGCATACACAAAGGTGAGTTTTGGCAGAGAGATTTTGTATTGCCTTTCTGAACTTCAGCTTTCAAGTTGGGCAATGAGTTGCAAAGCTTTTGGTGAGCTTACAGCAATGGATGGTAGATGGAGGACTGGGGAACAGGAAAAGTGAGCTGGCTGGGAGCAGTGAAATCCTTCATAAACGCTGTGTGTTTAACATCCAAGAGGATTACTGGGTTCTGTCTCTCAGCTTCAGCTAGGTAAAGGCACTGACTTTTAATTAACTTGATTTTTGCTTTTAAACTTGTAGTTCCGGTTTATGCTGTTTGACAATAGCCCTTTGTCAGATGGGAGCTGGAACACTCAGCTGCACCTTGGCCAGAAAAACTGTAAATCCACTTTTCTTTTACCACCATTACTCCTTCCAGCTTGGCTTTACCAACATCTGAAAAATTACTTTTCTTCCCTCTGAATGCATAATTGGTTATTTATACACAAACCATAGAGCTTTTACTTGGTATACCTGACCTAGAAAAAAAAAGATTAGTCAAGAACTGTCCTACCAGATGTGAGTGTCAGTCAACATACGATCTCCATATAATTTATAATGGATTAAATTACAAAATAATGAATCTTTTCAGTTAGTGTTTTGGCACATGATGATAGTATTACATTTTATGTGAGAATATCGACCGCAGCTCTTGCCCCATAAAACTGCAAACAGAAATTTGTAAGCATTGGCAGTAGTTTCACTTAGGAAAAGACACCCATTATGCTCAGATTACAGTCAAGCTGTGTACATACAGCCTGGAGGTTGTCCAGTCACACACAGTTCTTTTCCCTCCTCTCCTTTAACATTTTTGTAAGAAGCCTAGACAGTGGTTTCCAGGTTAGATGTTTTTTTTCCTTCCCTTGGATTTAACTAGAGGAAGGTCTGCAGAGCAGAAGGTCTTCCAGGATTCTTGCAAATGAGAGTTTCCTCTGCCAAATTCTGCTCCTGCTAACCCAGAGCAAGTGAGGACCCACGATGTGTGTGGGAACAACCCTGTCCCACAAAGCTTCCAAACCCCACATCGCTCAGGAATCTCACCTATCTGCTTCTTGTTTGCAAGTGGAAAGAAGCAGCTTTAAAATAAGATTCACAATGTGACAGTTAAGTTGTCCCTTAAGAGCAAGCTGTCATGTGAACAGATTTCTCATCTCTCTCTGAAGCTGAAATAATACAGGGTTTTGCCTTAGAGAGGAGCACTTGTGTACCATATGTCTCTTGCAAATAGGATGACTGTTCTAAATGCAACTTAACTTTTTAGTGACTCCTTCCCCCTCAGTCCTCTCTCCCATCCCCCAAAATGGAGCTCTTTCCTCATTAACTGCAATTTTTAACAACCAGTTAATGGTAGGGCAGTGGAAGTGGGGGTGCCCCACCTCCTTCACACAGCTTAGGATGTGTCAGAGTTGTTGATGGTTTCTCCACCCCCTCTTCCTCCCTTGGCAGCACTGTGGTGCAAGGGATGCTTTGCTGCATACAGAAATCCCTGCCTGTATCAAAGCCTGTAAAATCCCTCTTGCCTCACTTTGCATTTTCATCTGAAGTTATGGAAACAGCTTCTCTGAAATGTATACATCTTATGGCAAGTGTTGAAATAGGCTCATCGGCCAAAGGAAATACAAACTTTAAAAAGCCCTCAAAACATTTTGCTTCAGGCCTGCATGGAAGGAAAGGGGCATGGCAGGCAGTGGCTTTCACTTCACATATGGTTGAATGGCAAACACTGATGCTTTTTCAAACACAGCTCATTGCTTCTGTTTGAGTTAAACTTTTCCCAGATGCTGACAAATTCGCTGTAATTGACTGTACCCTGTCCTGCCACATCTGCCTCTTTCCACTGACTAGTTTGAATGATCTGTCCTTGTTTTCATGTTTTGTTTCTGCTCCATAATGGTGGTGTCTGAGGGTTTAATATACAGCAAAAGATTTCCTAAGCCAGTCTTGTGTGCAAGTTTCTAGTAAATATAGCTGTAATTTAAAGATGGGATAGGATAGTTTGTCTGTTTTCATACTGCCTGCATATGATGAGTTGATCAAACTCTTTCTGCATTAAGAGCCAAAAGCAAGGGGCACTAGATAAGCAACAGTCATTTGGGGGCTAAAATAGAATGATCTCTGGGGTCCATCCAAGCCTCAGTAAGCAACTGAGTTTGAATAAAAAAGTGAATGTAGTTTTTAAATGAATATTCCCTTCAAAGCATTAACAGTTTTTGCAGGTGAATTCTTTTCAGACTTGAAAGCCTCTGTTGCTTTAAGCAGCAAACACATTTGATGAGCTGCTCTCAGTATCTCAGGATGCTTGATCTGAGAGACTTAAGACAAATAGTTGAGCGTAAAACATCTGTTCAGTTAATATTTTGTCTGTCTTTTTGGCAATGTAGTCCTAGAAGTAGTTTTATACTGTACTGTGGAAAATGTATATTACTAATCTAACAAGTTGTAACTTCATACACTTTCGAGTTGTTTTTCTCATTTGTCTTACACTTAAGAATGAATCAGCCTGTTAAGGTCAGTATAGCTTCAAATATGAAACAATGGCTGAAGAAATGAACCATCTAGTAAAATGCAATGGCATATAGGTAGTTAACTTTCCATATATTCCTGTAATCTATATAAAAGGAAAAGCAGGATATGTAATAATGAAAAAAGAAAATATTACTGTAACTAAATGTGGCTAACTTGGTTTACTTACCCTTCTTTTAGAGTTACATTTGAGATCTTGTAGTTCAATTAGTTGACTGTATAGTGAAAACCAGCAAGCAATCACTAAAAGATGTTAATTGGATGCTCTGACACCAGTTGTCTGTATCCAAACAAGCTCTTCACTGAGGTCAGCACTCTGTGGTTCTTCCACCCCTCAGCTGCACTCAATTTCCATAGAAGAGGTTTGCCCTTGCAAGAACTCTGGGGTTCCAGGCCCTGTCTTTCAGCTGACTTCATAGTCTAGCCCTTACCAGAAACAGTCACATAGAATCTCCTGGGACATAAAAGCCCAGGTGCAACAGAGCAGCAATAAGCTCTTTACTCGTCCCTAGAGGTGGCATTTAAAATAAATTGACAGCTTAATCTGACAAAAATGAAACTTCTTATTCCAAAATGATTATTCTTCTCTCATTATTTCTCTTCTATCACCAAGTAATTGTTTTGCCTATTTTCAAAACAACTGGTTACACTTCAAACCTCCCCATACAATAAATTCAGCATGACTGTATCTCACAAAAACAGGAGGTATACTGTTGAAGTGAAATAAAGAAAAGCCAAAAGCTTTTATTATGTGTTTAAAAGCAAATGTACATATTGTGTGAAGTTATTGTGTTAACATATGATGATGCATCTCCAGAAGGCATGAAATATTGGCAGATACTACTAAGAAAATTAAATTTTCTATTTCCCAACTGGTCCCATGTAAACTGCTGGGGGACAAAAATGCCAAATGTTGGCATGTTCTGATTAAAGAAGCTATTCTGGTCCCTTCTCAGTTGGCACATATGTTATCTATCCATGATCTCCAAAGGGAGATCCATTGGGATTTTTTTATATTTCATATTCAGCTATTGTGCGTGATGGGACCATCCCAGTGTAAGGATTTGTCTACCTGTGTAGTTAATCTCCCAGCAACTTCATTCACACCATGTGTGAACCCACATATTCTAAAACAACTATTTCACACATGGTATTAATCAAAAGTTAATGGGGGAGAACTCAATGTGTAAACATTTTACTAGAAATGTGATTCAGATATTGGGTCTCCTCCATTTGTAATAGCCTGGTCACTTATTTCATCCTGTGGTGCTGGTAGTGCAGTCTTTGTCAAAGGTGTCTCAGTCTTGAAAAGAGAATCCATTTTTATCTGGGTCTTTATGTTGAAGGACTTCTGGAAGGATTCTGATGTGAAGTAATAGATGAATGGGTCAAAGCAGCAGTTCATTGTTGCAATGCACAGTGTGATTGGGTACATTGTCCTTGCAAACCTCTCCAAGGAGCAATTTGCTATTGCTTGGGAACGCACAAGAGCGTACAAGAAAAGTATGGAATTGTAAGGCACAAAGCACACAACAAAAATGGCCACGTGCACAATGATCATTTTCAATACTTTCTCTTTGTTTGTCCCAATCTGAGACAAGGTGGCAGGTTTCCGGAGAGTCCTGAGAACTAAAGAAGAGCATGTAAGGTTGAGTAGCAAAGGAATTATGAATCCTACCACTTCAATAAATATAGTGATCTTAGACAGATAGGTTTTCCAGATACGCTTGGAAAAACCTTCAAAGCAGGTTGTGCTGGTGTTGGAAATGTTGGTTGTGGAGAACAATGAGGCTGAAATTCCACCGCTGAGGACCAGTATCCAAACACCAGCACAGACTATGGCAGAATTTCTCCTGGTCCTAATGGTGCGAGATCGGAATGGATAGACAATAGCAAGGAAACGGTCGACACTAATGCAGGTGAGGAACAGCATGCTCCCATAGATGTTAGTGAGAAATGCTGTACCGGAGATCTTGCACAGGCTATCTCCAAAAGGCCAGTGCCTGTTGAAATTATAAAAAATTTTAAAAGGCAACGTGAACACAAAAAGCAAATCTGAAACAGCCAAGTTTGTCATGAAAATGGCTGTTTCACTTCGCATTTTCATTCGAAAGCAGAAAACAAAGAGGGAGGCACAGTTAGTAATCAAACCAAGGATGAAGACCACGCTGTACACAGCTCCATACAAGTTGTACTTAAAGGAATCATCTGTCAAACAGGTATGATTGTTGCTGTGGTTTCCCATGCCAAGTTTGTGACGTGTTTCCAAAGAACTTCAAAGTCTACTTCAGTGACATCCATAAAATAAGGCTGTGATCTCTTCTCTTCCTGAAGAAACACATTCCAGGAAGGTTGCTTCACACCTTGCTACCATGTCTCTGTCACAAGTCCTTTTGCCCTAAAGGAGAAAAATGGATACCATCAGTCTTGGAACGTACCATCACCTGAAGTAGCTGTACAAGAGAACATGTGCTCTTTCCTTTCCAAACAAATATATGCAAACAGGACCAATTAGTTTTCAAGGTGGTCTTTATAAATTCCGCTATTATTGGGGTTTTCAAAGCTAAACTCAGCAGTTACTGTATTCAACTTTTCCTTTCCTTCCCCCATCTGTCCCTCATCCTCCTATTGGAGGGAGAGCAATTATTAATTCCAACTTTCCGCTTGGAAAGATTTTTCTTTAAAATTTGAGATGGAATTGGCCCAGTATGTTTGGAAAGAAATGAAATCTTACAAAATTGCCCAGGTATAGAACCAAAGAGTTTGAAACATTCACCTGATCTTGTAACAAGAAGAGAAAGAAACCAGAAGTTTTAGTGTCTGCTTTTAACTGTGAAGAAATGGAAATTCTATGGTCTTTTTCAACTTTTTTTTTTTTTAATGCAAAAGTTTTAAGCCCCAAACCTATGTTAACGATGTGCTGCTTTTACCATTTTTCTACTTGAAAATGGGAGCATCCTTACACATGTTTTCACTTTGAAAAACTGAAATGTATTTCAGAAATGTTTTCCAAAATTACTTTCCAAAGTTATGCTTGCCATTTCAGGAAAATATTGTGCTTTCCCTCCCTCTCTCTCTCCCACCCATCCCCAACCCCCACCTGAAATTTCTGCAAAAATGGCATTACTTTCAAAAGGACTCCTTTTTTGCAAATGTAAAATGCATTGCAGAAAGGACTTCCGAAAGCTGCACTGATTCATTTCTACTCTGTCAATGTTCAGAACCTGAAATTTGGGAATGTCGTAAACTACACTCTTGTAACAATTTCTCCCAATTCAGCAAGCTTTAGAGAAGCGTAGAGTTGAAGCAAGCACACTGTTGCAAGAAAATGCTTCTTGAACTATCGTGATGTTCTCTTATTGCTGTTGTAAGTATTGTTTTCAAAGTCTAAACAGGCGGATTGGAGGAGACAAGTCCTCCCTCATTGGAGCAAGGAGGGTTTGTGAGTTGGAACATGGGCACAGCAGTTGGTACATCTTGGAAATGGGGAGCAAAGCTGGAAAATAAAGGGAAGGACCTTTGCCTTGTAAACTAGATAGAAAACAAAGTTTGTAAACTTCTTGTAATCTAAGAAACATTTAACTAGGTACAACTATGGAGTAACTTAGAGAGATGAAACCCTTGTGAAGAATAGGATCCTTTTCCAGAAAGTGATCCTCTGACATCATAGTTTCAACAGCAAACATGTAACTGAGTTGTGTTACATGGCAACACATAAATAAACTGGGGAAGAAAGCATGGAATCAGGACAATTTGGGATGCAAAATGATCAAAACCTAATGTTTTCCATATCTTTTCCTACTGGAAAAGCTCACACTGACAATTGTTCTTGCATGCAGGCTGTCAGAGAGTCAGCTGGTAAAATGACAAGTGGTGAGAAAGATGTAATAGCCATGGCTTTGCCAGATGGAAGGTGCAAATTCTGCCCTTCCCTGGGAATGCCTGGACAACCACAGGCTTTACAAAATCCAACACCGTGACCCAGAGCACAGCAGCACCTCACCTCTGCTCCTCACAGATTAGCTGGAAGTAAAGCAAAATAGCAGGAAGGGAGGATCCCCAGATCTCACTTCTCAGAAGGATGACTTTCATATGACTCGAACATTCTGACATCCAAAAAAACAGCTTGGAACTAGTAGGTCTCTCCTGTTGGAGAGGGTTCCTGCTTCCACAGGCTAGGGCAGTGCCAGGACTGGGGCACAGAAGTCATGCTTTGGACTGGTTTGCTGTTCTGGCTGTGTGCACCTTGATCTAACAGAATCCTCTGTGATTTTCATGGGTGTCTTTCATACATGCTTTTCACCCAATTTAGTAAATTTTTCTTTTGTTTTAGATGCATTTTGAGGTACATATTTGCAATGATATCCTGCATTAGCAAATGTTCAAACCAGAAAATGTGCCCTTACCTGATTGCCGTCAATCACGTCGCAGTGGCAGAGGAAACCAGACCCATGTTAAAGCTTTCTCTACGGCACAACTAAGCTGACACTTCATCATACAAACTGTACAGGACTTTGGGGATGGAAAGGCAGAATAGGGGATGGGCTGTATAGAGAAACAAAATGTTCCTTGTTCACATTTGTGTTTTTGTGCTCATCTTGGTATTTTTCCCACTAACTTTGTGACTAAATTAACTTTATGGTGAGATGACCTAAAAAAGATATCAAACATTTAAATCAATGAAAAGGATAGTAGTAAAATCTCAAAGGTGCACTTTCTTTGAATATGTGGTAATCTAAAGTGAAGGTCTCACAAGTTGAAATGCCTTTAAGCAAGAATTTATGAGGTCCAACAGGAATAGCTGTGCCTCTTAGCTTAACCCTCAGCCTAGTGTGTTGAATTCTTGGCTTGTAAGTCCTTTTCAGTAAAGAAAGAGACTGCGTGTTATTTCCATCAGGAGCAACTTTTGTTTATGACGAAATATAACCTCTATAACTAGATCCTTTTCTGTGGTGTGGGGATAAAAAAACAAAAAAAACCCAAACCAGGTGTACCAGATTCTCCTGGTCCAGGCTCCATATCTGGATCCTAACTGGGGAGGTTTGAGAGGGGTTGGGTGTCCTTGAAACTTTACATACCCATGTGCCCGGGAAGTAGATAGAAACCCCACTGTCAATCTGCACATGCAGTCCAGGATTTTGTCTGTTCCTCAAAACACAGCCTGACACAGCAGGTTTGTAAGGTGGCTTTGAAGTATTACCTTTACTACTGACATAAGTAGTCATTGCCAGCAGCCTCAGATACTTGTTACACAGGAGAAAAGATGCTCAAACACTTGATTCTTTTTTTCCCTGCTCTGCATCAGACCGTCACAAGGACAAATACCAGGTTTTCTGGCATATAAGTCTACGGGAATTGCCTGCCAGCAATTGTCTAGCTAAGTTATGGTCATTAAAATACAGGGCTGTGTTGTTCACCTATCTAACGCTAAGGTGTTTAAACAAGCTGACAAGTTGCTTTGAAACTCAGCCATGTGCTTGAAATTCTGTAGCATGAGTCTACGGATTCAGTTGTTTGAATGTAAAATTCACTCTCCTTTCTTTTCACTAAAATTAAAGCAGTAGGGTACTCTTCATGTACACCATGTTCACCACTACTCTTGCCTTGCTGGGAAAACGCAAGCAATACATTTTAAAATGCTGAATTAAGTGAATATAAAGAAAGCCACTATACTGTACTGTGTACCAGGCAGGCCAAAACTTTAAATCCTGTATCTAAAAGGGAGGTGGTACATGAGAGGAATGTATCTAGCCCTTGTTAGAGGTGGTACCATAACAGAATATAGAGGCCGTTTAGTGTGGTAATATTGAGAATGTTCTCTCTCATAGCAGGGATGGTACAAACAAACCTACAGCAGCTGTCACTCGCTTAACCCTCTTCTCAGTTCTGAAATGGGTTTCAGCAGAGTCGCTGGCAGGCTTTGCCCTCACTTGACTTTTGTTATAGATATATACCCTGTCCGTGTACTTAAAATAAAGGGAAAGTGCACTGTTTCTGACAGCACACAAGTATTCTGTTTACAATTCTTTTATTTCCTCCTCCTAGCACCCCAAGAAATCTTCAAACCAGCCAGCTTGCAGCTTAATTCAGACCAACTGCTTGTTAGTACAGAAAATTACTGCGGGTAAAAAGCACACTTTAAAATCAGATTCTGTAATTCCATTAAGCCCCCTCTTTCTGTGTCATATACGCCCATTGAACTGAGGTCAGGAAAAAAGTGTGAAGTTTGGGACTGATGTTTTTGCATCTTCACATTTTCTTTTTCTCAGATGTGATGTAAGATGAATGTAACTTTATCAGTATGAATATGTAGAACATCCTCTGTGTGTTCATTTAAATAACTAACCACTGCAAAGCCTCTTCTTCTGAGGTCTGATACAGACCAAATGTGAAACCGTTTCAAATCTAAAGGATCTCTTCCTAGATTGTCAGTATGTGTACTCAGGTTATCGCTAAATCTTGAGACATAAAGGTTTTATAGGTACAGAAGCCAAAAACTGATGGATCAAAAGGTTGGAGATAGTGGAGGCTTGGGAGGTTTTCTGTGTTTTGTCCAGAAATGTCCCTAGGTTATGGCAGCACTTGTTGTCCTTTCATACAATCTCACATCTGACCTTAGAAATAAGTACTTTCCTTGGGCACAGCATGTGCTTTATGCCCTCTCTCTCTACAAGAACAACATTCATTAGTGGGTTTTCACTTCCCTGTTACTCAGCACAATGATTGCATGATGCATAACTCCCTTCCACCACAGAGCCCAGGATTATGGCTTTACAACCACAAACTCTCATCTCTACAATGTGTTGAGTTTCATTTCCATCCTTCATTCCACTTTAATTATGCAGAAGACTCAAAACAGGTTTTGTTGGGGGGTGGGAGGAAGATTGGGGTTTCTTGGAAGATTTCTGCATAGGCAATAACTCTGCATAAGGCTATAGGGCTTGGATTCTTTCAGACTGGTATGAGTACTATAGGTAAGGTGAGATTTACTGCAACTGTTTGAGTATGGACTTAATAGATAAATAAGAAACTCTCTACCTGAAAACGTAAATGTTTCTGACAATACTATGGCAGTGCTAATGAGCAATCGTAACAACCACCATACTGTCCTTTCTAAAGGATTACAAATGTTCACTTGAAAACCACAAAATGTGAATTCAAAGAAAGCAAAGCAGCCATGAAGAACACAACAAAACCGTCTCACCACTGAGCTCCCCGCTGCTTCGCAGCTCTTGCAATACTTCAGTGCCTGCAAGGTGATCTCTTTCTTTTTTTCAACAGAAGTTTCACTAGTTATTTTTGGTTGGAAAGAACTTTGAGAGCATTAACTGAAAGTGGTTATAAGAACATACCTCTAGACTGGGGGAATCTGGTAG